AACATTTATTCATGATAACACCACTAACACCCTCTGCCCACCCCGACACACACACACACACACACACACACACAACACACACACACACACACACACACACACACACACACACACACACTCTTCTCCCAACACGATGAAAATATTTTTGCAAATTTACAACGATCTCAAGGATGGCCAATTCTGGAGGAAAATCCGCGGGATCCCAGGTTGCCGGGTAGTCTCACATCTCTTCATGGTCCCGAGATGAAATTTCCCCGCGGTACAAGACCTGCCTTATGCGTTTATACCTCCCCGTCCTCTGGATAATTTATCTCAGCGTCTTTGTTTCTGGGAGAATGTCGTCATGGCAACACGTCTCTACAGTACACCGCCATGACGTCGAAATAATGTAGATTTTTTTTTTTTTTTTTACAAGATTAGCCCACCTGAGCACAGTGGCTGACCCACATGATAATGATAATAATAATAACAACCCTGTAATAATAATAATAATAATAATAATAATAATAATAATAATAATAATAATAATAATAATAATAATAATAATAATAATAATAATAATAATAATAATAATAATAATAATAATAATAAAAACCATATAGAAATACAAAAACGAAAACAAAAAGTGAGAAATAATATATGTATGTTGTGTTGTCAATGGTAAGAGAAACAATTGAGACCCTGCAATTGTGTGTAAATGAGGCAGAAAGTTAGAGCAGCATCCTGGGACTTAGTCACAATTTTTGTGATGCAATATGGCAACAGGGTCTACCATTAGACAACACATTGTGCTTCCAATATCTTCCCAGGCGGTAGTACCTCCCTGTTTGGTAGCTGCCTACTACCTACTACCTACAATGTGTGCATGTATCGGTACATTATAATTAATTTACACATTTTTAAGTTAATAAATAAAAAACAGAAACAATATTAAGCCGGTGAACTTGTCATGAACTGAACAGGTCAACGAAGTATATAGAACTCAAATATATGTATTGCATTTTTTTTTAAGAAGAAGAATCCTTCTTCATCTTCACAAGATCCCGACTGAGAGGGAAGGAGGTGCTGGTGTATCATCTTCCTCACCGTATATATATATATATATATATATATATATATATATATATATATATATATATATATATATATATATATATATATATATATATATATATATATATATTTTCAAGTGGTGGATGCTTTATTTTCAGGAATCGTTTAATTCATGCTACCATTATTTTAGTAGTAGTGGAGAAGGTATGGCTATAAAGGGAGGCCGGAGACCATTTAAAAAGACACAAAGTAGTAGTGGTAGTAGAGTAGGGTAGAGTTTTACTTTCGGACGACACGGGAACCTTAGAACTTTTATCTTTGTAATCAATAGTTTAGACAGTTTTAAGACACTTTTCTTCTATGGCATTTTCCTTGAAAATTACCTAAAATTTACCTAATGTAACCTTCTAACCAGAACCCCCAGTATATATACAGTAAGTCGTTTGTGAGGGAAACGTTATAGATGAAAGGAGTCTTAGAATGGTCTAAATTATTGACTGTAAAGATAAAATTCCTAAGGTTCCGTGTTATCCGAAAGTAAAATAATAACGTAGAGTAGTACAGAAGTAGTACACGTGACGTCAGTTTCCCTGGTAAATATATCAGATTATTCATGCAATCAAGTATAAAAACACAGCAGCAGCACCAAATACGTAATGTTTGAAGACAGTAAAGACGCCGCGCGGCTGACAGAAACACACCAATAAGCTGATGCACTCCCGGATTATCTACCAGAAACCCACGCTCCCTCAGGAACAAGAGGAGATTAACTTTATGTAAGAACACGTTATTATGACCTCACTAAGACGTCAAACATGGAGGATGGGAGTGAGAGGTTTTTCATGAGAGAAGAAGAGAGGGATAACAGACCGCGGGGGACGAGAGTTTGTATGAACAGTTGTGGGGCTGCGGCAATGCGCTATGACATTTTATAAATCTTAGTAAAAACTCCTACTAAACTAACTATGAATTTTCTTAAAAACTTTCATCTGTGATTCTTTAAACCATTTCACCAATAAATTATTTTAAAAATAAAAACTCAGTTACTGAATGAATCGGCGTGTAATATACGTAAATAGAACAGTCTCCCTCAGCACTGTTGGCCCGCGCGCACGCCTATTGATTCTACACAGAAAACAGGAATTCAACAGGAGTAACAAACGTCAATGCAACAACAATTAATTTATAAATATAAAAAGTTCTTAATTGATTGTTATTTAGTGTGGAATTGGGCTTAGTGAATGATGAATACTGAGACAGAGAGCTGAAGAACCTAAGTCAAATTACACCAGCCCAGGCAGGTAGAGCAGGAGGCTGGAAATTTACCTAAGGCCCACCATAAGTCAATATAATAATAATAATAATAATAATAATAATAATAATAATAATAATAATAATAATAATAATAATAATAATAATAATAATAATAATAATAATAATAATAATAATAATAATAATAATAATAATAATAATAATAATAATAATTATTATTATTATTATTATTATTATTATTATTATTATACATAAAACCACTAATAATACTAATTCAGTAAAATCACCACAAAAGTTGATAAATGGTTTGGCATGTATACAGATTATGCAGGCATACAATTCAGCATGTATACAGACACTCCAGAGGTATACAGTATACATTACATGGACCGTGAAGGTATACAGTTTCCAATTTACTTAGACAATGCAAGTATACAAAATTGATAAACAACAAGGCAATTTGACCAAGGACAGCCGACAAAGCCATCAGCTGCTTATTACACAGGTTCAACAAGTACAGGTATACGCACAGGTAATTAGTCACAGGTAAGTAATTAATTCCCACACTTATTACTGCTACGAATCACTAATTATTATTCTTTCCCGTGATACTCGAATGATAAACGACCATTCACTCGACGGACACACGGCCATCACAGCTCTTGGGAACTTATATCACTCCATCACGTGCAAGACACAGGTGGGCCAGTAATGAGGCAGGGAGTCTCACAGATGTGCCATCAATCGGGAAGTAATGCAAGAACTTTGATATTTTTTACCTGGTGGTAGAGATAGGCAATCAACCCCAGGCCAGGTTGAGTGGTGGTGATTTGATTTGATTTTGCCGCTTACAGCGGCTTCTTTATTGTGCACCCCACACCCATCCTGTGAGCGGTAGCGCAAAAGGATTACAGAGTAGAGTTTACAAAGGGTCATAATAATTAACCCCCGTTTTCAGGATATTATGGCACTGAATGTTACACAGTATTTCAATTACGTTACTTGTTTAGTTTTATACATAAAGGTAACTTATTCACAAAAGCGTGAGTACAGGCGTGTGAGGCAGTATGTCTGGCCTCACACTTTGTTATTCACATTTACGTGAGAAGTATTCAAGCACATTGTGTATTTGGTTCTGTACACGAGAACTGATATAGTTACTAAGTGCCAAAAAGTGGATACAATCTTAATATGTCGGCTATCTTGCCATTAGAGATGAAGTGATGTGCCATTTCACACACAGTGTGCTTGGACCTGTCCCTAAAAGGTTCTATCTTCACACAGTCGAGGACGTAGTGTTCAAGTGTGTGGCTATATGTCTGGCCACACACTTTACATTTAGTGTTGTTTGCATCTGCTTGAGGAACATACTGCCAGAGGTACTTATATCCTAACCTTAATCTAGCGGTTACTACATCTTGTAATCTAGTGATCTTGTTACTTGCCCCATATACATGTTTCACTTGATACATCTCATCATGGTAAACTATGGATCGACTAGTGCCTGGTTGCACTTGTCTACTTGCGTCAAACTCATCAATAAGTTCTTTCCTAATTACAGTTTTAAGGGTTCTTTTTGACAGACCTAAATTGTATTCAACGGTGTCTTTGTTAGACGAGAGTTTGGCGAGGGCATCAACTCTGTCATGTTTTATGAGGCCTATGTGAGAGGGGATCCACAACAGTTTGACCTTGATACCCCGGTCAACAAGGTACGCATATTTGCGTCTGGCTTCAGAGACAAGAGCGCGACAACTTGAGTTGAGGGTGCCAAGGGCAAGTAGTGAGGATAGAGAGTCAGTGATGATGAGACTGTCAGTGACAGTGGTTTCAATGAATTTAATAGCTGTGAGTATGGCAACTAATTCAGTTTGTAGAGTGGATGCCCAGTTGTTAATTCTAACTCCTTTCTCAATTATATTACCATCAGGTTGAGTCACAACAATAGCACTTTCAGCCCTCCCACAGGTGGTGTTAAGAGATCCATCAGTGTAGATGGTCTGTGTGATATTATCATCAGTCTGTAGAGTGTGTATGTGTTCAAGAGCTCTCACTTTGGCAGTGTGTTGGAGATAAATGCTTTGTATAATTAATTTTTTAGGCGGATATGTCGGTATTTTGGTGGTGGTGGTGGGTGGTGGTGGCGGGGGCGGTAGAGATTAGATAGATAGATAGAGATGGATAAAAAGATAGACATATAGATTGACAAAGATAAGATAGATAGATAGATAGATAGATAGATAGATAGATAGATAGACACAGACAAATAGATAGATTAATACTAAAAAACAATAAGTCTTTTGTGTGACGAGTGCGAGTTGTCAGTGTTGACATATGGCTGGGAGACATATAAGACTTAAATGTCCTCAAAGAATCATGGAGAGGTGTACACAAGGTAGCTACTGAGACATAGTGTGACCGAGTCCTTCAGGGGGCCGAGACATGGAAGTGTTAAAAGGAAAATTATGAGTGTCTGAAAAGTGACTCCCTATTCTGAAATTCGTATTGCTCCTCAACCAGTGGTCACAACCTGGTGGCCATGACCCCCAAGGAGGCCACGGTAAGAGTTTAAGAGGGCCACGGTAGGCTGTTATAAGTTGTAAATACTGGGATCGAAATCGGGGTTCCAGAAGTGTGTCAAAGAAGTAGCTCCGAGTGCCAAGGGGGTACATTGTATGATCCATCGTTTTGCACTGGTGTCAAAAACCTTCCCTGATGCACTTTGCAAGATCTTGGAGGCAGTGGTTAAATGTGTCAACTTTGTGAAAGCAGGAGATCTGAACTCTCGCCTTTTCCAGAACCTTTGTAGAGGCATGGATTCAGAGCATGAAGTCCTCCTGTTTTACTTGAAAGTGCGCTGGCTTTCCAAGAGTAATGTTGTGAATCGAGTGTTTGAACTTTGGGGAGAGCTTAAGTTATTCCTGGAAGTGCAAGGGAAGGATAATCTCTTAGGTGACTTCAATGAGGTGTTGTGGGAGCCACGTCTTGCGTACCTAGCAGATATATTTGAGCAGCTAAACAGGCTGAATCTCAAACTACAAGGCAAAGAAAGAAAGGTGTTTCACCTCATAGATTGTCTTCATGCATTTCTTGTCAAGCTCCAGAATTGGCAAAGGAAAGTCGATGCAGGAAATGTTGCCATGTTTGAGAATCTTTCAACTGTTCCTGTTGAGATTGAAGATCATCTGCTTGACCCATCACTCAAAACTGAAATCACTCAGCACTTGAAATCCTTGAAAAGTGAGCTCAAAAGGTACTTTCCAGAATTTGAGGAGGAAGAAGGGAAATTGGTGAGGAATCCTTTCTCTGGCACTCTTGATATTGCTGCCCTTCCCAATGATGTTCAAGACGATTTCCTTAATCTCAAGAACGAGTCTGCTGCCAAAGGCCTCTATGGAGAACAATCACTGACTGTATTCTAGTGCTCAATGTATCATTCGTATTCAAAAGTTAGCGAGATCGCACTTCGAGTCCTCTCCCCATTTTCTACTACCTATTTATGCGTGTTTGGTTTCTCCGCCCTTCTACATATAAAGAGTAAAAGGCGGAACCGATTGGGTGTGGACCCGGACATGAGATGTGCTTTGTCAGTGACGCAACCATTGAATCAATCGCCTGACTGAAACGAAACAATGTCAGCCTTCCCATTGAGCTGTGACAAAATATGCTTAGGTTTGTTGTGAGGCTAGTCTAGTCACTCGAGGCTAGTGACAAGTCAGTTATGTAAATTATGTAAGTTTGTCAAAATATGTCATAATGAAGATTGTCAACAATAAAAAAATAAAATAAGGATATTCTCTTCATCTGACCAGAACACTTTATTTGTCATCATTATTTGTTGGGGGGTTGAGAGAAAACTGAAGGGGGGGCTCATGAGGACTTTGATGCCTTAAGGGGGAGAATGGAGTGAAAAGGGTTGAGAACCATTGTCCTAAACGAAAAGGGAATATGAAAACATTTGGTTGTTTAAAATCATAACACTTACTAATCATGTTCCAGGCAAATAATGACATTTTAGGTTAGGTTAGGTTAGGCTAGGTTAGGTTAGGTTAGGTTAGGCGGAGAGTCACCCGTGGCAGAAATACAATCCTTGACCTGAAAACCACCAACAAACTACCACATGCAAAAAAATTACAACGGGTTCTGTGAAAGACTTAAAAAGACGATTTGAAAAACCATCAACATCGCATTGAGAGGAAACTGTGACTAATAGATGAGCAATGATCAAGTCCAAATAAATCCATAGGACGGGCAGCCAGGGAAGAGGAGTTATTACGTTACACACTTCATATTGAGCTCAGAGCAGAACGTCCCTTTCGTGCTTTGAAAATCCCAGTAAGTCCAACGGCGTCCGAAGAGATGTAAACAAAGTGACAGACTAACAGATGGACAGACGAAACAAACACTCAATAAGCTCACAGATGGTCGAGGCTGCCACACTGACGGCCACGTTGAGTCAGCAGTGTTCGTGTTAGTTAATATGATGGAACAGTAATAATCAGTGTGGTCTTGTTCACTGTGTCGTGGACCGCCTCACACTATGTTCCTCCTCCACATTACGTGTTATATCTTGTGTGTCATGTACTGGTTTTTTTTTTAAGATCTACGCCTGCAATTGTCAATACATTTATAAAATAGGTTACTCAACAATACTTTACCAGTCACACCTTATACTTCACGGTTAATGCATCAATTTCTCGCTCAATAATTCGAACCCAGGTCCGTTGGTTTTGCTAAGCGAGATTGATGACAGTTACACCACAGGTCGCCATTATACAGTGTACTTTCGTATTACTTCAACGGAAAAAATTAAAGCATTTAGTAAAAATTTCCTATAATATTTTCGGGTACATATACAATAGATGCCAGGCAATCCAGAGGGATGTATGTTGATTGGCCAGCGATAAAGGGTCTCTGGAGCATATTACTGGTCCCATAATCCCCCGTTTTCGGTGTTGATTGGTCGCCACAAATGGAGTACCTTGACGTCACATTAGCCGAATTGATTAATCCAACGTTCATTGGCTGGCGTGTCTTACCTAATGACGTAACGCTTATCACCAAACGCTGATGCTATAAATTGGTTACGTCATAATTCCTCACCTAAAGCTGAGTGGTCGCAGCATAAATACCTTCAAGGCATAGCAAATAACTAACGAGAATTTTTCCAAGCCTATCGCTGATTGGTCGACGCTTTACTAGCTCCACAGAATAACCAATAAAATGATAACACGTCACAGCGGAAATACGAATGGAAATTCAGCTTCCTATCAAATACTGACTGATACGCAATATTTCCATACGACATGGCGACGGGTCAAAATTATTCCCAGTGCTTACTGTACTAGCATTATTGGACCCCAGTACTAACTGTCCCTAGTCCTACTGGGCACCAATACCAACTGTACTCGTCCTACTGGGCCCCAGTGCTAACTGTACTAGTCCTACTGGGCCCCAGTGCTAACTGTACTAGTCCTACTGGGCCTCAATGCTTACTGTACTAGTCCTACTGGGCCCCAGTGCTAACTCTCGTCCTACTGGGCCTCAATGCTTACTGTACTAGTCCTACTGGGCCCCAGTGCTGACTGTCCCTAGTCCTACTGGGCTGGTGCTAACTGTACCTAGTCCTACTGGGCCCCAGTGCTAACTGTACTAGTCCTACTGGGCCCCAGTGCTAACTGTACTCTAGTCCTACTGGGCCCAGTGCTTACTGTACTAGTCCTACTGGGCCCCAGTGCTAACTGTCCCTATGTCCTACTGGGCCCCAGTGCTAACTGTACTAGTCCTACTGGGCCCCAGTGCTAACTGTACTAGTCCTACTGGGCCCCAGTGCTAACTGTCACTAGTCCTACTGGGCCCCAGTGCTAACTGTACTATCCTACTGGGCCTCAGTGCTAACTGTACTAGTCCTACTGGGCCCCAGTGCTAACTGTACTAGTCCTACTGGGCCTCCAGTGCTAACTGCACTAGTCCTACTGGGCCTCAATGCTTACTGTTAGTCCTCTGGGCCCCAGTGCTAACTGTGTCTAGTCCTACTGGCCTCAATGCTTACTGTGCTAGTCCTACTGGGCCCCAGTGCTTACTGTACTAGTCCTGGGCCCCAGTGCTTACTGTACTAGTCCTACTGGCCCAGTACTAACTGTACTAGTCCTGGGCCTCAATGCTTACTGTGCTAGTCCTACTGGGCCCAGTGCTAACTGCCCTACTGGGCCCCAGTGCTTACTGTGCTAGTCCTACTGGGCCCAGTGCTTGCTGTACTAGTCTACTGGGCCTCAATGCTTACTGTGCTAGTCCTACTGGGCCCCAGTGCTAACTGTACTAGTCCTACTGGGCACCAATACCAACTGTACTAGTCCTACTGGGCCCAGTGCTAACTGTACTAGTCCTACTGGGCCCCAGTGCTAACTGTACTAGTCCTACTGGGCCTCAATGCTTACTGTACTAGTCCTACTGGGCCCAGTGTCTTACTGTGCTAGTCCTGGGCCCCAGTGCTAACTACTAATTTTCTGGGCCCCAGTGCTAACTGTACTAGTCCTACTGGGCCCAGTGCTTTGCCTAGTCTACCCCATTGGGTACTTACTAAGTCCTACTGGGCCTCAATGCTTACTGTACTAGTCCTACTGGGCCCAGTGCTAACTGTACTAGTCTGGGCCCCAGTGCTTACTGTACTAGTCCTACTGGGCCCAGTGCTTACTGTACTAGTCCTACTGGGCCTCAATGCTTACTGTACTAGTCCTGAGCCCCAGTGCTAACTGTACTAGTCCTACTGGGCCTCAATGCTTACTGTTTACCCCAAATCCTACTTTGTGCTAACTGCTCGTCCTACTGGGCCCCAGTGCTAACTGTACTAGTCCTACTGGGCCCCAGTGCTAACTGTACTCGTCCTACTGGGCCCCAGTGCTAACTGTACTAGTCCTACTGGGCTGGATGACACACTGGCCTCAATGCTTACTGTTTTAGTCCTACTGGGCACCAATACCAACTGTACTCGTCCTACTGGGCCTCAATGCTTACTGTACTAGTCCTACTGGGCCCCAGTGCTAACTGTACTAGTCCCTGCTGGGCCCCAGTGCTAACTGCCTGCCTAGTCTGCATGGCCCAGTGCTAACTGCTACTAGTCCTACTGGGCCTCAGTGCTAACTGTACTAGTCCTACTGGGCCTCAGTGCTAACTGTACTAGTCCTACTGGGCCTCAATGCTTACTGTACTAGTCCTACTGGGCCCCAGTGCTAACTGTACTAGTCCTACTGGGCCCCAGTGCTTACTGTACTAGTCCTACTGGGCCCCAGTGCTAACTGTCCCTAGTCCTACTGGGCCCCAGTGCTAACTGTACTCGTCTACTGGGCCCCCAGTACTAACTGTCCCCTAGTCCTACTGGGCACCAATACCAACTGTACTCGTCCTGCTGGGCCCAGTGCTAACTGTCTAGTCCTACTGGGCCCCAGTGCTAACTGTACTAGTCCTACTGAGCCTCAATGCTTACTGTGCCTAGTCTCTGGGCCCCAGTGCTGTACTCGTCTACTGGGCCTCAATACTTACTGTACTAGTCTACTGAGCCCCCAGTGCTAACTGTCCCCCTAGTCCTACTGGGCACCAATACCAACTGTACTAGTCCTACTGGGCCCCAGTGCTAACTGTACTAGTCCTACTGGGCCTTCCAGTGCTAACTGTCACTAGTCCTACTGAGCCTCAATGCTTACTGTACTAGTCCTACTGGGCCCCAGTGCTAACTGTACTGTCCCTACTGAGCCTCAATGCTTACTGTACTAGTCCTACTGGGCCCCAGTGCTAACTGTACTCGTCCTCTGGGCCCCAGTGCTAGCTGTACTAGTCCTGGGCCCCAGTGCTAACTGTACTCTCGTCCTACTGGGCCCCAGTGCCCCAGCTGTCACTAGTCCTACTGGGCCCCAGTGCTAACAGCACTAGTCCTACTGGGCACTCCAATGCTTACTGTACTAGTCCTACTATGGGCCCCAGCCTGCTTGTCCCCTAGTCCTACTGGGCCCCAATTTAACTGTACTGGTCCTACTGGGCCCCAGTGCTAACTGTCCCTAGTCCTACTCGGTGCATGACAACAGCTGCCGCACGATAAGAATCTTTACAAGTCGTCCATCTCACATAAACCAATAAGGGGTTATGCTCCACATTCAAAAGAAAGGACATATTTTATGTAACTTCCGCCTAGTTTTGGGAGATACAGTATGTAAACAGCTTAAAGGTGCAAAGTCGATGCGAGACCTCATTAACTAACTACTAAAGTGATATATAAATACTCAATCTGGGCTAATTCAATTTTAAGACTCCCGGATATACTTACCGCTATATTGAGGTGATCACACACACACACACACACACACACACACACACACACACACACACACACACACACACACAGGATTTATTGAACAGTCTCCTAAACTGG